TTGATGATCTTAAGCTAGTAGGCAAGTGGAAAGTGAGGCTCATGGATGAGAGACATGTATTTTTTCATGAAATATCTTAATATCGAAGACAAATCAATGAAGTTACTCAAGTGGTCTCCTAATTTCGACTAATTTCGACCCAAATCATGACAAATCATGAAACTCCCATTGTACCAGTATGGTTTAGTTTACCTGATCTCAAGCTGCATTTTTTTTCACCATCGGGTTCTCTACTCTATTAGTGTCATACTTAGAGACCCTATGAAGCTATATCTACTCACTTTCAACCTTTAACCAGACCCTCGGTGGCCAGAATACTTGTGGAAAAAGATATTACTTTACCTGATGTTACTGAAGTCTGGTTGGGCACAACCCATAATGGTTATTGACAACAAATCGTCATGAAACACAAACCCCCATATTGTACCCTCTGTAAGATGTTTGGTCATATCCTTGTTAAATGCCGCAAGCTTCATTCTAATTTGAAATCTAAGGTTTTAGTGAATAAGGATGGGCCTAACCCCACTGTTGTGGATATTTTAGTTCCACTTGAGGAGGATACTATCAGACAAGAGGTGTCTCTTGCCCTTAAGGAGCAATGTATGTATGTATGTATGTATGTATGTATGTATGTATGTATGTATGTATGTATGTATGTATGTATGTATGTATGTATGTATGTATGTATGTATGTATGTATGTATGTATGTATGTATGTATGTATGTATGTATGTATGTGTATGTATGTATATATATATATATATGTATGTATGTATGTATGTATGTATGTATGTATGTATGTATGTATGTATGTATGTATGTATGTATGTATGTATGTATGTATGTATGTATGTATGTATGTATGTATGTATGTATGTATGTATGTATGTATGTATGTATGTAGATAAGAAACATTAAGTGGAAACAAGCTTACAGAAGTAAGATTTGAAACCCTTACCAATCCCTTCCAAGCTGCTTCAGGCCTTTTGCTCTATTGGGTTTAGATGATGTGTCGCTTGCTGACATGTTCTTTACGAAAGGGCTAAAATGGAGAAGAATAACAGATTTGTTCATATCCAATAGGTGTGGATCATGTGAGTCGCATTGTTGGTGTACCCTCCCTCAAGTAAGCTAATTTAGTTGACTGAGGAGACTTGAAATGATGTAACTTAGAAGTGTGGAACTAGTGCTAGAATTACAGAATATAGAGATGAAAATTAGAAGTGTAGCTTAGTCTACAAAACTATAGTAAGATTTTATCCCACTAAGTGTAGTCCGCTCGTTGATATAATGTATTACTATTAATTAAGAAATTATAAAGTTGTGTTTAACTAAGTTTTAATCAAATAAAATACAATCATTCATCCAAGTTAATGTCAGTCATTTCACGAGTTATTTGTTGAACAACAAATAAGCTTGTCTGTGAACCTAAATAAATGAGTAGGATTGTGTTCTAGTATGGTTCATTTAGCTTCGAGTTTCTAGAAGTCATTTAGATTTCTTCAATTATTTACTTGAATGCGTGTTTATGAACCAAGTTTAAGCCGTTTATTGAGTGTATTGCTTTACTTATATCCCTACCCTTGCTTTGTCAGATTTTTCCAAAGAAGTGCAGTATTTGTTGTTCTGCTGCTAATCATATATTTATGATTTTGTTGGGATTGGAATATGATTGTTGTAGCCTTCTGATACAATTTACGAGCTTGATGTGCTCGACTGGTACAAATAGAGTTTCATTGGATTCAAATAAGGTATAAATAGAGTTTCATTGGATTCAAATAAGTCATAGTTATTCTTATTTTTTGATATTTTATTTAAATATAGATTAAACTATTTTTATGCCGAACATATCTACTAGTTTGGGATGAGGATTCTGTTAAATAAATATTTTGACTTGTGTGTAAATAAGCAAGTTTGGTTTGAATGAAATTTTTTTTTCTGATTTTCAATCTTATGAATATAATTATGACAACCTAATTCTAGGAGAAGTCATCTCTTTGCATTGATGAGAGCCATGATTTTTCTTATTTTGGTATTTTCATTATTGTTTTTATTCCACTCACATATTCTATATTGACTTTTTAGTGCTCTTGATTTTGTTCAAAGTTGGTCATGTGTAATTACATTTATGGGAATTAAAATACGATTGGTCATTGATTTAATGTGATCCAAAATTGTTGCTGTTTTCCATGTATTATTTTGATTATTTTTCATTATTTAGGTTATAATTAGATTATGGACTGTTTCCATTTAAATAAAACAAGTTATTGAATCAATTATGGCTTGTAAATTTTGAAATGCCAAGTTACCTTGGCATGAATTCATACCACATATCATAGTAGTTACACTAATAAAAAATTTATAACTTTGAAAAATCTTTCATTAAAAATAATATTAGATCTTATTGTTGCATTATCATTTCAAATAAATGTAAAGAGTTAATCGGGCTGGTCAATTAATAATTTTAGTTAATACTTCCATTTAAATGAAATCATGCAGGTTGTGGTTCTATCCATCAACATTGTAATTTTCAAGAGTTTTCAAACTATATTTATACAATGGATTAAAGATATGATTTTAGAAAAATTTCAAGCTGGATCAATAATTTGGAAGATTTCTATGAATGATGCAAAGTCTTATTCCTTGAGAATTTAATGCGCCAAGCAATTATTGTTGGTTGTTGTTGCTACTAAGTTATTATGTGGTGATATGAAACTATCATTTGGTGATTACAGGGATCAACTGCATGATCGATCACTTTGCGAATTTAAACAAGATAAAGCTGATATGTTTGATTATCATGCACGTTTTATATGCCTTGTTTCTAAATATTATTGGAAGATTTACATACATACTACACTTAGATTTCTACATACATGCCACCTTATCTATGCATGAAAAGGTTTATTTTACTTTTTTGAAGTTATGATAGGGATATTTTTTATGTGACATTAAGATTGTGTCGTATAGTTGTAAAAAGTATAGTTTAGATGTTAGATATGCAAATACATAAGAATTGGGAGCTATGTATTTGTTTCCCTAAAGATAGCCAGGATTCATCTTTTTCATATATCTTCAAATTGCTTCATCAATTCCATTATCTCACCCATCTCTCAGATTCATATTTCGAGCTCCACATAATCTTTCCTTTAACAAAAATGGGCATTTCTGCTTAATTTCTGTTATAGGGAGGAAGCCGAAGAACTCGCTCGAACGCTCCTAGATGATGAAGATGGCTCCCGCAGCGTCGCCGAGATGGGAGACCTGCTGTACCATGCCATGGTACTTCTCAGACTCAAGAACGTGAGAATGGAGGATGTCTTCGAAGTCCTTCGGAAGAGATTTTCGCAGTCCGGGATTGAAGAGAAGAACAGCCGTAGTTGAACTCAATTACTTTCTTGCTTTGAACTGATCTTTTAAGGTTCTATAATTTTCAACAATTTCAGTTTTACATGCATACCTCCCATTTCCTATGTAGTTACATATTTAGCACCTAAACTTCAATAATTACATATATGCCAGCCAACCTATGTATGAAAAGGTGTTTTTCAATTTTTTTTTAAATTTAAAATGATAATATTTTTTATGTGATGTGTAAAGATTAGGTGTCAGATATGTAAATATATAGAAGTTGAGTGGGGTATGTATGTAAATGGCCCATTGTTTTATAAACTTCTGGCATCTTATAACTGTTTCGTAATTAACTTTATGAGATTTTTTTAATGATACTTATAATTATACATATATGCATTATATATATATATATATATAGTAATTTTCATTCGGTTTGACATATTAAGTTATAATCATTAATTCGAGAATTTAAATTCTTAGGTAGCCGTTGGATGGATATGAAGTGAGAGGAAATTGAGTGGATCTTTTTTTATATTTATTTTTTAAATTTGCTTGTGGTATTGTCAATCTTTGACGTGAATTAACAACCTTTTCTGATCACACCCCTGTAGGGGCGGGTGTGTAAACGAGCTCAGCTTGTGTTCGGCTTGTTTATATTTTGAGCTCAAAAAGTGTGTTCGTTTTCGGCTCGTTTGTTTAGCGAGCCGAACACGACCCGTTCACGAATAAAGAATCGTTTTGACAATTCTAATCACGTAGTCATAAGATGTTAAGGATTGAGATAAGATTTAAAACATCATTTGAATCTAATTTATTAATTTTTATTCTATTTTCTTAATTAATACTTTTAATTGATTATAAATTTTTGTAGCCTTATAGTCAATTAAAATTTTTAAAAACATTACTCATAATATATATATATATATATA